TTCCTTACCCCCTTGCACGGGGTCCACAACTTTTTTTTCAACTGTGTTCACGGCGCGTGACAGGATCTGCTCAGCAAGACACAGAAGAGGCAGAGCAGAGGAGGAAGGAAACAAAATATTCTCGCATTGAAGCATACAGAATGGGCTTCCCTCACAACTCATCAGCACGGATTTTTTGGCATTCAGCGACTTGATTTTTGCACAAAACAAACGACTCGACTTTTCGACTCGACAGCGGTGAACCACCAAAAAAAGACCTTGGATCAGCAAATACCCCATTTTCTTCGCACGCAACAATGGCTTTCCGAATGCAGCGGCAGGCCACCTCACACAGGTGGCGATTCGCGGTCGAGGAACCCGACCTAGCGATCAGCTGTTGTAGAACCGGATTCAACGGCTGAATCCGGCAAGCCTCTTTTTCTCTTCTTGCACAAACAACACGCGGAAACCGACATGGACAACGGTTCAGACTGTAGGATCAGCGCACACGGTCCAGTGGAGGAAGCCTCGGTGAGAATCAGGGACGGGCAGGGGCGACAGCCGCAGACGGAATATGCGCTTGCTGTTGCAAGGGGGAAGGAAGCGTATGGCCGGCCCAAGGACGCCGGCCAGTGGTGGCAACACTTTCTGGCCACTAATATCTTGGAGGACCGGCCACTTGAACATATGGGAAGGATATTTGCGGCGGCTCGTCTGCTGGGATACGGCAGGGAGCTTGCGGGCTGCAGGAGGCGCCATTCATGCGTTTAGGACGGAAGCGAACAACTTTCGCCCAAGAACGGACGGATAGGAGAGAGCGGGCTCACAGTTGAGCTTACTCTGCGCTGCCAATGCAGGTCATCAATGAATCCAGACCAATTACTTCCCTCAGAATTGCTCCCCGTCTGGGCAGCTGGTACAAAGGCGCCAAGCCAAAAAATGAGTAAAATTCCTCCAAACATGGACTACCAAGTGACTTGCAAAGACGTTCCGCCGCATGGCATCGATTTAGTGACACCCCCTAGCTTCCCTTTCCTCCCTTCCCTTTTCCTTCCCCTTGTATGTGGCTAGCATCCATCCATCCCTTATTTGGCCCAAGCATATCTCGGGCCCCAAGGACGACCTGGGCATTTAATACAACAACCTGCGGCGTTTGACAAAGGTCGTACAACGATGGGACAGTCACTGTTCATGGCCAGCCAATCAATCGCGCGAACTGGCAGTTGCTCGTTGGGCTCGAGAGAGCCGGCCGGGCGACCCTGGGGCCAAGGTCGAGACCAGTCATCATGTCAAAGCTCGTCAAGGGGGGCGCAAGGGGGGGGGGGGTGGGTGATGGCCTCGTCAAGGGCCGGGCTGGAGCGAGATTGATCTTCACGAAGGCACCCCACGCGAGCGGTGCCACGTCAGAGGACACACAGGGTGGTGGGTGGTAGTGGTGGTCGCGTCCCAGAAAGAAGAAGCTGTGTTGGATGAGAGGCAAGGCCAGACACTGACTGTGGCTGGCTGGCTGGCCGGCCGGGTGGCTGCGGGACCCGCGCGCGCTCTTCTTCGGGCGAGGGTCTATGCCTGTCTGGCTCCTCTCTTTTTTTTTTTTCTCTCTTCTCTCTCTCTCTCTCGCTCTCGCTCCTATGCGCAGGGTCTGGAAAAAGAATAGGGCCGCATGACATTAGAGGCGGAGGGATCTATCTTGTTCCCGCGTGGGTGAGAGGTTGAGGAGGCTCGGCCGGCCGCCACCTGCGTTGGGGCGAGCAGGGGACACCTGGTGGCCCTCGCTTCTGTGCTATGCTATGCTACCTATGCTGTACATGTACATGGTATGCCATATGTCATGCTACCTATACGGCGCCATGGCTTCGAGTGGACGTCGTGGACTTGGTAGGGCTCGGGCGCTCAGATTTGGTATTTGCAGTGGAACGAGGCGAGGGTTGTCATGCAGGGTGAAATGAGGTGTGGTCGGACGAAGAGAAAGGGTTGAGGAATCCGCTGGTTGACACGTTTGCAGAGGCTCATTGGCGGGCGCGCGCGGGGGCAGAGTTGCACGGCAGACTGATAGGAGGGCACGCAGGTCTTGAATGCGCATACGAGCTGGCGCCATTTGCCATGATGAAATGGGCTTCGGGCTCACGCGATTTCTGCCAAGGGATGTCGGATGTCATGTCATGGTGGCTCTGAAAAGGGTTTGGGATTAGTGTCGTGCTATCGCCAGGTAGCGGGATGTAGGGAGGGAAGGAGGCAAGGAGGCTAGGGAAGGGACCAATGTCGATTGCGGTCTCTTACCCCTTTTTTCTGGAATGGGGGTTGCACTTGCTTGCCTTTGGGGGCATGGGGACAAGGGGAGGCAAGAGAGAATGACATAAGCTCACTTGCCATTCAGGGGAGTGGAGCAGTGGGGAGTGGGGAGTGGGGAGGGGCCATTCCTGGCTCGTCATGCTGGTGACCTCGCTGACACTCAAGACACTGCATTAAACTTATCAACCTCTATCACCTGTCACCTTGGTGCATCAATACCCACTGGGGCAACGGCGCGCCATCAGAACATGCTGAGGGAGAGCGGGAAAATGAGATGAGATGAACCGCCCTGCCTTTTTCTTCTTCTGGCGCTTCTCGAGCCTCTTCGGGTTGTTCCTGTTCGGCCCCGCTCTGCATAGCGTTTGGCAGCTTGTCTCGTGGCATGGCATGATGATGGCTGACCGGGATTGCCAGGTTATGCTACCTCTTCAATCCGACGGCATGACTCTGCCCCGGGTGCACGCCATGCCTGCGATGCAGCACACGGCAGCACACGGCACGCAGCGTACGTCCGCGAGGCTGCGGTATGCGTCGGACATTTGCTCCTGCCTTGTGCTCGGTATAGGGTCCGCTGGCATGTGGAGAGAGCCTCCGTCCATCTGGAACGACGGAAATGGACGCCTGCGGCTATCCGACACGCCATCTTCCATGACAGCATCATCACGCACGGGTCCACCATTCTGATTGGGAGGTAGTGCCCATTGCTGAAGATCCATAATCACCATCTTGATCCTCTTCTATTGCTGTCTCGGTTCCATCTCGACTGCCGGCCTTGTGCTGCCGTCCCGGTCGACTATCACGGTACGACTACGTCCATGCCAGCCGTCCTGCTCGACATCGGTCAACCGGACGACCCGCTCGCCTTTCTCGTCCATCACATCATGCGATATACGCACCAGCGTGGGATTGCCGCCGTTGTCTTGCTCCAATTGATGCCAGTCCATTCTCGGGTGGCCTGGGTCAAAGACCTCTGTCGAGCCTGCCTCCCAGCGCATCTGGCCCGGCATGCGCTGCGCCCCGAGAACGTCTCGACGGTCTTCGCCCAGCCAGACGGCACCGAGGCCAGGTGTGGACTGCATGTAACATGTTTTCAGGGGTAAAAGGCCTGATAGGCGAAGCGAGCCTTTTCCTTCGGCCTTCTCCGTGATGCTAATGACACGGTCATCCATTGACATGCCGTTCGACGGCGGTACTTGGTCGCCGCTGGCGCCCATAATCTGGGCTACTGGCAGTATCCCTCCCAAGCTCGGGTGGGCTTGTGGCCATACCGGCTCATTTTCGTCGACGAGCGACTGGCAAGTGCGCGTGTCGCAGACACTGACATGAAGCTCATACACGGATGTTTGCCTGGAGCCGTTTGCTGTCACGATACGCATCGTGGAGGAGGCGGCATACTTGGCCGGTTTGATGCCCAGCGCCGCAAAGTCTTGCTTGTACAGCATGGGTAGAGTTGCTCCCGTGTCGAGGAGCATGCGGTAGTATAGTCGCACAGCCTTCGATTGTGTCGTGGAACGTTCTTCGGCTGGTGCAGGTGGCTTGAGATCAAACATCTTGAGCCGCGGTTTTTTCGCACGCCCCAGCATTTCCTTGTGCTTCTTGTGAGCTTGAAAGGTCTTTTTCGTCTTTGGCTTCGATTTTGCACTCAACACTGCTGCTAGGATGTCATCCTCCCAACTCCCCTTGAGCTTGGTTTTGATGTCCTCCGCCTCCTTGGCCTTGCCGTAGTTGATGTCGTTGATGCGCTTGAAACCCATTGTGATGGAATACTCGCCCATGCCGAACGCATTGTCGGTTTCCATAGCCCACGTACCCTTCAAAGCGTTTATACCGCCGGCACTCGCTAGGGACGAGCTGCTATCCAGGGGCGGCTCGAACCAGAGCCAGCCGGTGCCATGCTCGGCAGCATATCTGTCGAGGCGCTCTGCTCGGTTGTGTGTGAAGGACTCATAGGAGGGCGCAAAGTCGACAAGGTTGCCGGCGTATATCAAAGCAAAGTAGTCTGACGGTCCAATAGAACCATCACGATAGCATCGAATGGCAGCGCGAATATTGACGATTTCGCCCTCACACTCGCTGAGTCTTAGTGCGTTCTGGAGGACCTCGATGCGCTCAGTTATTACTCTGTTGCGGAAGACCTCGGTTTCGGATCTGGTCCATCAAGTCAGTACTCGTCCAAAGGTCATCGGTCTGACTTCACCTGGTACATGCTGACATACAGGCTCTTTTCAACGTATTCACGGTCTTCGATAGTCTCGATTGCGTCCCTGTCCCTCCTCACCTGCATAACCTGCTCTGCGATATCTTGCACAGCTTCCTCACCGTGCTGTACAAGATTCTCCTGATAGATCCGCTCCCATTGCTGGACGAGCGCGTTGACTGCCTCGAGGGCGCTGAGGTCTCGACCGAGGGGTGCACCAATAATATTGGTCGGCCTTGGTGAGATCAAGTCCCTGTGGTTCTGGATTCTAGGAAAGGTCTGGGGTTGCGAGTCCTCCACGCTGTCCGGAGATGGTGGCCGGTAACTTGTTGCTCTGGCGCGGTGGATCTCAAGGTCAATGGCTGCTTGTAGTGCAGCATCCTGGTCTGCAAGAGCTTCTCTAGACGTCTCTGTATGCTGGCTCCCATGGGTTTGCGTTGGAGAGACTTGTGCCGCAGGCGCAGACTGTTGCATACTTTCGCTGCCACTATCCGAGTGGTAGTCTGGCCCAGCAGCCCCGGCATTGGGACCGTCATTGTCGCCGGCCCAATTTGACATGGCGATTGAAGTCAATTGACTTTTGTTGGATTTCGAGTTGATGGATAGTTTTTCGAAACTCAAATGGGACTCTCCGCCGTCTTGTCTTACGAGTATCCTGCAGAACGGGTGTTGGCATCGCAGCCAAAGCGCCCGACTCCTTCTGTAAAGACATTTTACACGCGTGATGATGCTTCATACTGTCGCCCTTTGTTGTGCAACACTTGGCATTTGTTCCTCACCCAATGCGGCGCAAGGCTCATCGCAGCTCTGTCGTGTTGTTGTTCTTGTGCCTTTGTTCTGCCGTGGAGGTGTGCTTCTGCGGCGTCTTGCCACTCCTTTGTTCACATTGAAGGACCTCTCGCCGCCACCTGCATTGAGAAGACATTGAGAGTATTCTTTGATAGGTAACCTAGTCCCTGGAATGAAGGCTGTGCCTTTATCCTCTGCTCTTTGTTAGTTGCTTGGATAGGAGCTCCTTTTCAAAATGAAGGCGTCTTCCTCTTCGTGTATCAGAAGCTTGCCCTTCTCATGTTTGCCTGACACCGTTCTTTGGTCTTGTAGCTTCTTCCAATTCATTCCGAAATATGTGGTTGCGCCGAATTTCTTGACCTTCCAACTTGAATTTCTACTGCTGATTCTTTTTTCCTAGGCGATAGTCTGTTGGCAGCCAGCTGCAGTGGGATATCAATAAACTCCTCACTACAGGAACTCGATCGAGACGATCTACGGAAGAATACAGCAGCCACGACGTTTGCAAGTGCCATACAGGGCATACGGTAACCATGGCGGCACCAGAGATGAGTAAGTACACATACAGGACAGAGCTTGCTGCATAGATAGTTAATACCAAACAGCCGACATGGCCCTGCTGCTCAGCAGATACCACGACAAGTTCCCAGCCGACTTCCAAGCCGAGCTGACAGGCCTCATCGAGAGCGCCGACCACTACGACCTCTTCAAGCGCATCGAAGACCTCATCGCCGCGCACAAGCTCGACGACCTGCTCTCCCGCGAGGACAACCTCCGGCGCGCCCTGTGCGAGCTCTACGGCACCCGCCACCCCTGGCTCGCCACGGCGGACCTCGGCGCCGCCGCCTGGCAGCGCGAGCAGGAACGCGCCCTCGCCGCGTTCCGGGAGCGCGCGGCCGGCGTGTCGCGCGACATGGCGCAGTACGAGCACGAGCTGCGCGTGGCCAGGGCGCACGTCGCCAAGTTTTGGCCTCCAGCTGCCCAGCCCCGCTCCCCGGGCCGGCGTCGGAAGGTGCCGCTGGCGCCGAGCATGGGCGGGGGTGGCCGGCGCGGGTAGCCGTTCACGGCGGGTGGGACCTTTTCGTGAAGGCGCCTGGCCGTGGAAGGGCATCTCTTTTTGTTCCGAAAGGAAAATTGCGAACAGTCTTCCCAGAAACAACCTGTCGTTCTGGATCTGGCCGGAACGCCGCCGGGAAGGAGTACTTTTTTTGTCTGACGGCGTCTTGAAATGGAAATGGTACTTATGCGAGACCTCTGTTCAAAATGTCGAAAGGGTAGGTGTGCTCTGGAGA